CACACACACACACACACACAAACATGACCAACATCTCAGGTCTGTTTGACTTGTTTTCACTGAGTGACAGAAAGAGGAGCCTCCCTGGATGTTTATGTTTCATTTTAACTGTCTGTCTGTCTATCTGTCTGTCTATCTGTCTGTCTGTCTGTCTGTCTGTCTGTCTGTCTGTCATTACTGTTTGTCCAGTCATCTTCAGTAAAAAAAATAAATCCACAAACAATAAACCATAGACTCCAAATGTAGAAACCAACAGAAAAAGTCTAATTATTGAAAAAATGTTTTCTATATTATGTGGGTTTAGCTTGTTTTTCCTGCTGCTGTGATTACATGCATACTTAAAGTTTCAATAAATTAAATACAAATCTGTACCTTTTAAAAGTAAAAATGTCTGTGTGAGTGTCTGAAGTCGGTCTTTACATGAGCAGCATGTTGGCATCCTTTCACCTGCAGGTTTGGTTTATTACCATATGCAAATCAGCACAAGGTCAACAGTGCAATGAAATGCTCAGGACAAGAACCGCCTCGACTCACAAAAGAAAAAAAAAATGCAACAAAAATACAAAAACAAGGCACCAAGAGTGAAAAAAAAACACATCTACAGCAGCACGGTACCGTTAGCCGTGTGGTTCGGTTAGCGGCCTGGTCTTGCAGTGTCTTGTAGTGTCTCATTGTTCCCTGATTTCTCCTGAGTTCACACACTCTCTGTTTACCTCCCCCTACCCCCCCACTCCCACCCCTACCCATCCTTCACCCCTTCTACACCTCTCTGTATTCTGTTTTCCCGCCTGTACTTGTCAATCTTCTCTGTCTCGTATGTTGTTCACGTGCACTTGTGTGACCTGCCCTCTTTCTTTCCTGCTGGTTGTTGCTTTTCTGGATTGCTTTCTTTTTTTTATTTTGGGGGGTGTTCTCTACTTCTAACTATGGTGGCTGTGTTGCCCAATATTTCTGGCTTACACTAACCCAATGATCGACTCCTCCTGGACTCCAACATCACAAACTCTCTCTTCACCTCCTTTATTCCCTAATCCATGCCTGTATTTTCCTCCTCCTGAATCAAACCATCACTGAAACCATAACTCCTCGAACCATTACTGCTGTCCTCATCTGACCTAACTGTACATTCCTCATGCCTCCATCAACCTGACAACTCCCACCTCCCCTCCTTCTTCACTTCCTGTTCCGCCCCGCAGCAGCGTCAACAGTGCCCACAGTAGTGCCTCCCGCTCATCGGGGGGAGGTGTAGGTATTGGTGGTAGCGGAGGAGGCTCCCAGCCACACTCACCCACCTCCTCCTCATCCTCCTCCTATCGCTACCGCAGCAGCAACATCCCGCAGCATCCTCCACCACCGGGGGGCCTTGCCGCCCATCGCCTCAGCAGCGTCTCCTCCCACGATTCTGGCTTTGTGTCCCAGGATGCTAACATCTACTCCAAGCCTCCCTCGCCGATGCCCTCAGACATCACGAGTCAGGTACAGGAACCATCTTCTGCAGTTGTTTGTGTTTGTTGAGCTCTGTGCTGAAGACTGGGGAACGATGGCGCACAAGTGTAAAATAAGACATAATCTGTTTTTGAATGTATTTTTAAAATCTAAATTAATTCACAAAATGTAATAAGCAATGTAAACAACGATTAAATCAGTTCCAGGGTTGAGAGTTTAAAACCTAAATGGACACTATTAAAAGCTCAATTATCTGTTCTGCTTTTGTTTGCTAACCAACAGGACTGTTGTTTCTCTCAGCATCATTACAAAATGAACATATATATATATATATAAGCCTTGATCCTGCAGGCACATGTGTACAAAATCTGTACAATGCGTATACCTGAGTGCAGTTTGTTGGTCCTCCTGCTTTCCTTATAGAAATCCTCCAGCTCAGCGTCGTCAGAGGCCTCAGAGACATGCCAGTCGGTCAGTGAATGCAGCTCCCCAACCACTGTAAGTGTTCTCATTCACACTGCACAGCACGACATCTTCAGCTGCACAACATTCACATCAAAGCACACAGATGAAAAATAAGTCGTTCAAGAGCAGACCAAGGACAAAGTATGATGCGTTGAGTTAGCAATCACTGTATTCGGAACTTTGTTTGCATCACTGGCAAGAAAACAATCAAATTTTTGATAGACAGTTAGGCTCAAGAAACCTTAAGTAAACAAAAACAAATACAGTAGTTCCTCGCTACTTCGCAGTTCATTTTTCACGGACTCTCTACTTTGTGTTTTTTCAAAGTAAGATTGGACATGACGCACAATTGGTTGATTGATGGATGTGCCGCACAATCAGCATGGAATTTTTTTTTAAAATATATATATTTTTAATCATTTAGCACCTGCTGCACCTGTGTGCAGCCCACAGCAGTAGACGAAGCTTCCTCCTGCAGCTTGTCATATCTCCGCTCTGCAGCGGAGAAGTGGGCGTGGCCGAGAGCACTGACAGATGGCAGAGTGCAGCTGGAGCTGAGATCATGACATGCTGTTTTCTTTTAGAGCGTTTAGAGTTTAGAATCATTGTTTAGAATATTGCAAGAGTGTGGGAAGAGTTAAAAAAAACAAACAAACATATATATATATATATATATATATATATATATTAAAGTAAACTATTACTTACTACTTGTACTACTATTCCTACTTTGCATTTTTTCACTTATCGTGAGGCTTCAGGGTACGGATTCCTGAGATAATGAAGTACTACTGTATTCTAAAATTTCCATTAGTAACTACAATTTATCTTCTTTTAATTATGTTCACATTTTTTAAATAGTTCAAACTGAAATAAAGAGTGAGAGGTATTTTCTGTACAGTATTGAAAACTGTCAGGAATAGATTTTCAATGTACACAAGGCAAATTTTACCATTTCAACATTTTATTAGTAAAGTACAGAAACATTAATTAAAAAATAAATTGGTGATATTTAAAAGTAAAGTATCTCAAGGCTGCTTCTATCAGTGTCGGAATGCTAATTCAGTGTTCCCACTATCATTTTTTATTTTTTTTTATTTATGGTATATTTGCAATCTAACGAAACATTAGACTCATTCAGGAGATTGGTTGATTACTTATTTTTTTTTTATCTTTTTAATTTTCAAATCATTTTACTTTCTTCACAAATATATATCTATAGAAACACAATTTTTTTTCCATTCCTTCAAAAATATTGTTTTCTTAAAATCTATTTCTAATAGATCTATTATACTCCAATATATGGCCGTTTGTGGGAATCAGTTTTGTTTGGTGGTTCCTCAGAATGAAAAAGTGAAGGACGAAACGTCTCAGAAAAAAAAAAAAGACACCGTCCAGATGACCTGACTGAACATTGTTGGATTTTCCCTGGATTATTGAGCATGAGCTTTGGTCTACTTCTAATAATTTGCTCTGTTTTATCTTCTTGTTCTACTTTAGCTTTTAGCCCTTTGCTACTTTTAGTCTTTTGAAACATTAGTTACAGTATATTTTTGTTGTTTTAGCTAGCCTTTTGCTACTTTTAGCTCTGTGACAGTGTTGGGCTCGGAGCCGTCAAGTAAATGGTAAACGGACTGTACTTATATAGCGCCTTTCTATCTTCTTTCAAGATACTCAAAGCGCTTTACACTACAGTATGTGCCTCACTTACCCATTCATACAGCACTCTACTAGATCTCTACAAAGCTAATTGAACAAATCATTCTAAAGAGACTAATCAGTTCTTTAGATCACATTCATACACTGATGGGACACACGTCAGAGGCTATGAGGGGTTCAGTGTCTTGCCCAGGGACGACTGCTCTAACCACTCAGCCACACCCGCTTCAACTAAGGGGGGTGTAGGATACTTGACAGAAGCGGAGAGTTTACAAATCTAGGTAAACGTAGATGTTTAACAACCTGTTAAAATTCACCAAAATGCAAGAAATTGCATGTACTTTATTCAAAATTTTCTCGAGGACGACTTCCAGACACCCCCCTCCCGCCCACCCGCTTGCTATTTGCGTTCTGACATCGATTGGTTTACAAATTAAGCCCTAGTTTTAAGATTCAGCTTTACTTGTAAACTAAACATAAATGTTTATTTTTCATTAATTTAAACCAAATAAATGATTCAGATATTTATTTTCTGAAGTTTATGCCTGAATTCATTTTTGTTGTTGTGGTTTTAGAAATCCTTCAGACAGAATATAAGTATTTTTCAATCTTATTGCAAAAAAATAATTTGCTTTATTTTCTATTCTGTTTGCTGGTCTCATTGAAGAAGAACAAGTTGTCACTGCTGGTACATATGGATCTAAGGCTGCTGTGATAATTGTAGCAGCAGAAAGCTGCTGTTGGACACTGATAAAATTGTAAGTTTCATTTTGGTAGCAGGAATTTTTACGAGTTTCATTGTTATATAAAATCAGTTGGAGATGACTTGTGAAAGGTAGCACAAAACAAAAAGTGATAGTTGTCTGGGAGCCTAATGGGCTCTCCTGCAGAGAATAGATTTTGTTGAATAGTAGCAAAATGCCACTAACATGAGCATTTGGTTTAAAATAATGACTATAAGTGCACTTTTTAAAGCCACTGCAACAATTAGCAACTATGTTTCACTCTTTCCAGGCAAGTTAGGGAAAAATAAGTTTCTCTCCAAGCATGAACCACCTACTCAGATTTGAAAAACTCACATGAATCTTGTATTCAGTTCTTTCTGTGTCACTTTAATTGGTGTTTGGGGAACTCATAATATTCACTCAAATTAGAGCTGCAATTTAGAGCTCATCTAAATTTTCAGTACATATTATTCGACAGCCATGCACATCTGTTTGTAAGGAAAAAATAATTATATAGATGACTCCGAGGAGCTGAAGTAAATATTCATTTCTGATTCCAAGTGATTCTCAACAGCTTGCATCTCCGACAGGTTTCATCTGTGATCCGTCTACTTTGAATGGCAAACAAACATTGTCAGGATGGATTGTTTGCTCCACTTTCACTGGTTATCATGGCAGAAACCTTGTACAAACACAGTGCGTGGAGAAATTCTGGTGACAAGCACAGTCTGGTTACGTAATACACATGCTATGAACAGGAAAAAATACTTCATTATTTTCATTTAAACTTGTCTTCTCTTTGCATCTATAAAATCCCCTTAGGGCACATGGTATACTTGATCTCTGCACCCACATCAAACATAGTTGGACGACTGGTGCAATGGCTTCATGTGCTTGGTGCAAATGTAAAGCTCCCAATAAAAAGACATGGCAGAGCAGTACAACAATGTTTCTTCAAGTTACTTTCATTTTATTCTTCTAAGCAAGTTATTCTAATAAATTAATCAAAAAAAAAATTTAAATATGAAATGCTTATGATTAGAAATGTTTGAGATAATGGATACCTTTTTTGCCTGCAGATATAAAAGAATCAAAAGCCACATTAACATTATCTAAGCTTTGTGTAAAGCTGCGTGTTGTGAAGTTTATTTTTTTTTTTCTGTTTTTCATCTACTGCTTTTTTTTTACCCTCTCTCACATATAAACTTATAGCTCTGTCATGGAAAAAAGTGACCTAAAAAAGGTCAGGTGTAAACTTCTTCCAGAGTTATTTACGAAGCTTTGTAGAACAGTCAAAACTCACAGAAGATCATTGCATTTACAAGAACAAACTTACCAATGCCTTCACCTGTCTGAGGTTTCACCCGTTCTGGCTTCCCGAACTGAAACGGTTAGAGAACTCATCAGGGGCATGCCCCTCCCCTTTCATTTCAACATTTCTCAAGGATTCTTACGGGGAATAATCACTGTCTACCATAACATTCAAAAGTCTCCGACGTAATAAAAGATGACCTCTCTACTGTCTCCTTACCAATAGTCACATCAAGAAGGACTATAGAGGAAAGATAATGCCTCATATTTAATATTATTCACAATAACAGTAAAAGAACAGAAAAGGTTATAAAGTCTATATTAATATAACGAGATATAGAGCATGGCTCATGCATATAAACACATTCCTTCGACAAGCTCATTTACCAGTAATTTAGACTGACCACAGGTGGTTCTGCATAATAAAGCTTGTAATATTTCCAAACACAACCAGGGCTTAATTTGTAAACCGATCAATGCTGGAACACAAATAATGGGTGGTCTGGGGGCGGGGGTGTCTGGGGGTCCTCCCCCAGAACATTTTGAACAAAGTAGAAGCCATTTCCTGCATTTTGGTGTTTTTGAACGGGTTGTTAAACATCTACGTTTACCTACATTTGTAAACACTCTGCTTCTTTCAAGATCCTACCCCCCTCCCACTTACTTGACGGTTCCACGCCTGACTCTTCTCCGCTGAATTCACTGTCCGACTCCACATGTGACACCTCCAGGCACCTCCTTGATCTGTTCATGGCGGCTGCCTGTGTACAACCACCTGCTTAGCTCGTTCGGCACTCACCCCCACCACTTTTTTAGGGGGCGGAGATTTTTTTAAGAGTAGAGGTGGAAATGATTAGTTGAAGGGGGTATGTGATATTAAGAAATGGTACGTGGTTGTGTTTAAAATAATGTTTATGTACTTACTTTCAGTTTAGATGTCCAATATAAGTTTTTAGTCGTTCAATGCAGTCATATTTGTTTATAACTTTATAATTAGAAGCCCGAGAGTTACTGGATCCAAGCAAACTGTTACCGGAACGCACCCTGTCAAAATAAGAGAGTTTCCAGCTCCTGTTCCAGCAGGATCAGGCTCAAATTAAGTACTGAACACAACATTCCAAATTCTCAATAAATATTTTAGTAACGTGCTGTTGATAGCTTTTTGTTTGACATCAGTTTGAGGAGGAAAGTTTGATTTTGACTTAAATGACGAGCAAATGGCAAACCTTTCTAAAAAAATTCCACTTTAAAACATCTTAAGTATGAATTTAAAGCTAATCAATGTGGAACATGTACAGTAAACTAACCAATTCGCTGTTCACATGATCTCAGTTTTGTTATATATACTGTTATCTAATCCTATTGAACCACCCCAGTCACTAAATGTATTCCCTTTCAGTATTTGTATACTAATTGCAGTTTGTGTAAACGATCTAGCTGAACTTTAACCTTAGCTTGACTGTACTGAGCCTGGTCTGCATTGCTATTAAAAGCTGTTGTGTAAAATAAATAAAGAAAAACTGTATTGGTTATTTTTACGTGCTTCAAAAATTTTACTATGATGTAGAAAAGTTTTCAGATAAATTTGAATCAAAACTGTGTTTATGGTCGATTCAACACATCTCATCAACTTTCTAACATAACCATACCTGCATCTAATCATACATATAGGCTTTCTGGATATACTGACTTAGTTTATACATTAATAACTCCTAAGGTCATTGTGATGCCTCAGATTTCCTGCTTATCTTATCGTTCCCTGCTTCTTCGTATCATTTTTAGGCTGTGCAACTTTCTGTTGTCTGTGATTATGGTTTACATTCTCATGTAATCCCACAGCTGGCTTCCTGTCTGCAACTTTTTCATTCTCTGATGACATGTCTCTCGTCCCGCAGTTTGGCACGTCCTTCGCTACCTTCCGCCCTGCTCTTTCTCATTCTGGTTCCACCAGGCCTCTCTCTGTCATTCTTCCTGTTCCTGCGTCCCCACCCTATACCCGCCCCCCTGGATCCAGCTCCTCCTCTCCCACATCAAAGGTTCCCATGTGGAAGGTTTGTTTTCCATTTGCTTCCATTTCTTCAGTTGCACCTTTTCTTCTGTTCTCACTGAGAACAGAGAACGCCTAATGCAAAAGTTTTGTTCATTTTCCCCACCAGATTAACTCATTCATAAGCATAACACTTTGCTTCCCTGAAACATTCATCCTCAGTTGCTGTGTGTTTTCAGGCATGCTTTTAAGTTTCACCTGCCTCCCTGGTTTTGCCGTCTACAAACTGGTGATTGACCAAAACCAAGCAGGGTTTAAGCCATCAACTTAAATCCTATAAAAGTGCAAAATGCTTACTTCAACAGCTTCACACACATGCACCATGGCTCAGCCCAACTGTGAGGACCCCTTTCAAATGAAGAGCTTCAAACTGCTGGATATTGGACAAGTCTGATGCTAACACAACCAGACATGTCCTGTTTATTAATTCTTCTAATTTTTTCAGGACTGGTCCAAAACAGGTCAGTATGAACAGCCAGTGGCTGCGGTACCAATTCAGAGGAGAAAGGAAACTTCTGATAGGCTGAGGGAGAATGAGGGCTCACCGGGTTCCCAGGGACATGCTGGGACATCGCACTCTGACGATGGGCAGAGGGCCAGGATGACACCAGCTACAATCGCTGCCAAGGTGACTTTGTATAACAAGCACACTTAAGTTATCTAACTTGTAGGTACACTTATGTATACATATACTGTATTTAAGATATGGCTTGTAGTCAGCTGCTTTATTTTTAGGTACTTTTTCAAGGTTCACTTTCATTTTCAAGGTTACTGTCATTCTCATCACATCATGCCTTCTTCCACCTGTGTAATCACTGAAATTAGAAACATCTTATCTAAAAATGATGCTGGTTCATGCATTTGTCATGTCTAGACTGGACTATTGCAATGGTTTGTTATCTGGGTGTCCAAATTCTTCTTTAAAACGTCTTCACTTGATCCAGAATGCTGCTGCCAGAGTCTAAACTGGAGTTAGTAGGAGAGATCATATCTTTCCAGTTTTAGCTTCTCTCCATTGGCTCCCTGTCAAATCCAGAATTGAATTCAAAATATTACTTCTAACCTACAAAGCTCTCAACAACCTAGCTCCAACTTACAGTGCCTTGCGAAAATATTCGGCCCCCTTGAACTTTTCAACCTTTTGCCACATTTCAGTCTTCAAACATATAGAAATAAAATTTAAATTTTTTGTGAAGAATCAACAACAAATGAGAGACAATCGTGAAGTGGAATGGAATTTATTAGATGTGTCAAACTTTTTAACAAATAAAAAACTGAAAAGTGGGGCGTGCAATATTATTCGGCTCCTTTACTTTCAGTGCAGCAAACTCACTCCAGAAGTTCAGTGAGGATCTATGAATGATCCAATGTTGTCCCAAATGACTGATGATGATAAATAGAATCCATCTCTGTGTAATCAAGTCTCCATATAAATGCACCTGCTCTGTGATAGTCTCAGGGTTCTGTTAAAAGCACAGAGAGCATCATGAAGACCAAGGAACCCACCAGGCAGGTCCGAGATACTGCTGTGGAGAAGTTTAAAGCCGGATTTGGATACAAAAAGATTTCCCAAGCTTTAGATTAAAATATTTACTCAAAGTAATAAAGCAAATTCAATGTACTATAGAATAACGGGTGTATCTAATGACCCAGAAGAAATACTGAATAATTTGGACACCAAATCATAATGAGCAGGCAAAGATCTGAATATCCAACTGTCAAGAGGTTCTTCCCACTAACATGCACGGTCGTTGACGTGGGCAGGAAGACCTGAAGGTGATCGTTACATAATCACAGGCTGGAGTCCTGTGGATGCATGACCTTGGAACAGCTCCAGGAATGCATCACTACTTGCATGAACAGGTGGTCAGATCTTTGTTAGCTCAGGGCCCATGTTGGCCTGGCATCAGTTTCCCAGGAGTTCAAATCACCCAGAGTTTGTTGGAGGTGATTTTCTCAGAAGGAGGAGAACATGCAGCGTGTTCTCAAATATCAAGTTGGAGACTGGTTTACCCATGTCTGGTTTGCACCATCTGAGCATGAAAAAGGGTTTCAACAATGCAACAAAGTTAATCTGAATTAGTTCTCAAACAAAGTAAAAAATTATCAGAATGATCTGTTTGATTAAAAAAAAAAATCAGTCAGTTTTCAAGTCTGAGAGAGAGAGAGAGAGCGAGCAATAAAAGAAAGACACATTTTTTTCTGCACATCTGAAGGAAAATTATTGAGTATTTTAACTTGTTAGAAACCAAAAGTGTAAACTTTTAAATCTATCTTTTTAATCCTCCATCCATTCAAATACTAAAAAGTTAATACCTCAGTATCACAACTAATCATCATTTGTAACAACAACAAGCTGCCAGAAGTGTAACATGTTTTTAACAGCAAAAACCACGTGCAAATCAAGATTAAGGAATTGTTTCCAACTTCAAATGCTGGAGGAATAGAATAGGGTACATTAAATATCATTGTTTAAAACAAACACACATTTAAATCATGATATGATGTATGTATACATACAAAAAATTGAAACAATAATAGTTACATAGTTGTCACAAGCACTATGGTTATTCAGAGTTTCACAGAAAGTTAGGCACACTGAGTGGAACACACCTGCATCATGTGATGGACATTTTATTCATGTTTGTTGATGGGGCAGCTGTGGTTGGGTGGTTAGATCAGTTGTCCTCCAGTGCAAGAGCTGGGGGTTTGATTCCACCAGCAGTCATATGCTGAAGTGTCCCAAAACACTGAACCCCTCATTGCCTCTGATGCGTGTCCCATCAATGTATGAATGTGAAAAAGCACTGATTATTCTTTGTACAGATCTAGTAGAGTGTTGTATTAATGGGTAAATGAAGACAAAGATTGTAGTGTAAAGAGCTTTGAGTATCTTGACAAAATGGAAAGGTGCTGACTTAGTTCAGTCCATTTACCATGATGCCAAACACATCATCGATCACATCATATTACAGAATGATTTCAAACTTGTATATTACACAAATTCTTTAAACATAGAGTGAAATATTTCAAGCCTTTATTTCTATTAATTTTGATGATTATGCTTTACAAATAATGAAAAAAAAAAATTAAGCATCTCAGATAATTAGAATTTTATGAAGAGGTTCAAAATGGTAAACTCCTGGTGTCACACCCTAATCAGCTGCTTAACTCCTAGACATGAGCTACAAATGTTTCATTCCTCAAGTCCAACCACTCCTGAACCAGAGACAACATCAGAGGTGTCTTACCTATATATATATATATATATATATCTCCAGTGCGGTTTTCGTCCAGGTCGTGGAACACTGGACCAGCTCCACATTCTCTGCAGGGTCCTGGAGGGTCTGTGTGAGTTTACCCAACCGGTCTACATGTGCTTTGTGGACTTGGAGAAGGCGTTTGACCGCATCCCTCGGGGAACCCTGTGGGGGGAACTCTGGGAGTATGGGGTACCAGCTCCTTTGATACGGGCTGTTAGGTCCCTGTATGACCGGTGTCAGAGCCTGGTCCACATTGCCAGCAGTAAGTTGGGCTTGTTCCCAATGAGAGTTGGACTCCGCCAAGGTTGCCCTTTGTCACAGATTCTGTTCATAACTTTTATGGACAGAATTTCAAGGTGCAGCCAAGGTGTTGAGGGGATCCGTTTTGGTGGCCTTAGGATTGCGTCTCTGCTTTTTGCAGATGATGTGGTCCTATTGGCTTCATCAGATCGTGATCTACAGCTTTCGCTGTAGCGGTTCGCAGCCGAGTGTGACACGGCCGGGATGAAGATCATTTCTTCCAAATCTGAGGCCATGGACTTGAGCCGGAAAAGGGTAGAGTGCCCTCTCCGGGTCAGGGAGGAGGTCCTGTCCCAAGTGGAGGAGTTCAAGTATCTCGGGGTCTTGTTCACAAATGAGAGAAAAATGGAACGTGAGATCGATAGGCGGATAGGTGCAGCATCTGCAGTGAAGCGGGCGTTGTACAGGTCTGTCGTGTTGAAGAGAGAGCTGAGTCAAAAGGCCAAGCTCTCAATTTACTGATCGATCAATATTCCTACCCTCATCTATGGTCATGAGCTTTGGGTTGTGACCGAAATAACAAGATCTCGGATACAAGCGGCCAAAATGAGTTTTCTCCGCAGGGTGTCTGGGCTCTCCCTTAGAGATAGGGTGAGAAGCTCAATCATCCGGGAGGGACTCGGAGTAGAGCAGCTGCTTCTCCATGTCGAGAGGAGCCAGTTGAGGTGGCTCGGGCATCTGATTAGGATGCCTCCTGTACGCCTCCCTGGTGAGGTGTTCTGGACACGTTCCACCGAGAGGAGACCCAGAGGAAGACCCAGGACACGCTGGAGGGAGTATGTTTCTTGGCTGGCCTGGGAACGCCTCGAGATTCTGCCAGAGAAGCTGGCCCAAGTGGCTGGGGAGAGGGAAGTCTGGGCCTCCCTACTTGCTACTCCCACGACCCGACACCGGATAAGTGGAAGAAAATGGATGGATGGATGGGTCTCCATTTTATTTATACACACTTTGAAATTCTCAGTTTAAACTTTTCAGTGGGCAACATGAGGTGGTGTAGTTTCAAAAATTGTGCTACAATGCCTTAAGTGGCATAATCTAACACTACTGGTAGGAAGCAATCAGGATTCCCTTGGTGGGGCTAAAATGTTGGTATCCACACGTTAAATATCCAGTTAATTAACCATTTTAAATTAAACTATGATGTAGATGTAAAAAAGAGGGATAGATAAAAAGAGGAGTGTTTAAAGCATAATATGATATAGACATCAAATGGATACTTGAAACAAACCAGCAAAAGAAATATTGTGAGAATTCTTGTGAAAACTGGAGTGGACAGTGGTTAAACAATGTGCCACTGGCTACCTATGCAGCTCCAATGAAGTCTCTAAAGGGCCTGCTATCAACAACAAGGAACAAATGGGCAAAGCAATTTATATCCATCCATCCATCCATTATTTTTACCCGCTTCTTCCTTTTTTGGGTCACGGGGGTCACTTGTGCCTATGTCCAGCCATCACTGTGTGAGAGGCGGGGTACACCCTGGACAGGTCTCCAGTCCATCACAGGGACACATAGAGACAAACAACCATTCACTCTCTCACTCACACCTAGGGACAATTTAGAGTTACCAGTCAGCCTAACATGCATGTTTTTGATCTGTGGGAGGAAACCGAGTACCCAGAGACAATCCACGCATACATAGAGAGAACATGCAAACTCCACCCAGAAAGGCCCCCAGACCAGGATTTGAACCAGGGTAACCTGCTCACTGAGAGGCAGCAACTCTACCAACTGAGCCATTGTGCTGTCTCTACATTAAATAAATCTTAAATAAAATTTTCACTTGCACATGTCAGTCAATTTCTCTTTTTATTTTGTTTAACCCATAAGTTAACATGGAAGTTTAAGCTATAAATGCATCTTTAGTTTTGTTATTAGAATTTAAGGACACATACTCTGTAGTGGACCTGATGTTCATGGGGTGTTTTGGCCATTCGCATTATACATTTTCACCCATTGTATGTCTAGCAGGCCTTGTAGGCGTCTTCCTTTATTACTTAGGTTTTCTGAAGGAGCAAAGTTATGATAAATCAGCAGGTTTGATTTTTGGATTTAGAGTTATAGATGTTCAATTAACTAGATGTTCAGGTCTCTTGTAAATGAGTCCTCGTGACTCAGTGAAACTAACTTGCGCACATAAATGTTGAATGAATTAGATGGTTCAGCTCATTAATATCAGATACATGATCTGATTGAGAGGTTTCAGTACAAGCCTAAAAACTAGGTTTTAATGTTTGTCATAATTGTGGCACTTTCCATGGAGAGATTAGTATTTTATGAGATGGTAACTAAATATGAAAATTTTACGAACTGCTAGTATAACTTATTCCTGTTAAATGGGCTTAAGAATTGAAAATTGTGTGTCATTTCATAAATCTGTAGTTACACCGCTTTAGACATGTTACAAGTTAAGTGAAGTCAAACTTATTTTACTGTGGCCATCTTTTACATTTACAATTTTTCTATTGATTACTAATGAGGTAAAAGAAAATAACTTTATGTGTTGTAGAAGTGTAACTCTCCTTCTCTTTCTCCAGCATGGTGAGGAGGTATCTCCTGCAGCCAGTGACCTTGCTATGGTACTGACCAGGGGACTGAGTATGGAGCAGCAGAAAAACAGCAGAGATTCCCTGCAGTATTCCAGTGGATATAGCACAGAGACAACAACCCCATCCTGCTCTGAGGACACGATTCCTTCACAAGGTTAAACTCTAATACTCTCCATGCTCTACTGCAGCTTTTAATCTTGTTCAGCCCAGGACAACCACATTCATTACCTTTACCCTAGCTACATTCATCATCCGATTCCTTGTAGCCTCTCAGGAGAAGCAACCAGTTAGATGTTTTAACTGTACTATCAATATCATTGAAAACTGTTGAGATTTTTATTATATAGTTTCACTTTCACTTGAATCCCTGTTGTCAGTGTTACGAACAGATAAGGTGACTCATCCATTGAATCATACAGACTGCAGTTACGTTTTATGATAGATGTACTCTGGCAGTTTCTTTGACAGTTCTTGGAAAACAACAATACAAAGATAAAATAGAAAAATATTAAACCTTTTCCTGAGAGAGTTTTTTGGCTCTTTGTTGCTATGGCTACCTATGTGTTATTTCAATCTTTTCTTCACCGTTCATTTTTGTGAAGTGGCTTTGTATTGTTTCCCAGCAACTCAGTTTGTTTGCTAAAATGTGGTATTTTTTCCCCTATCCCATTAAATCACATATTAGGTTCAGATTATGACTGCTACTCTGTGAATGGTGATACTGAAGGCCAAGATGGACAAGCAGAATTTGACAAGTCCTCCACAATTCCTCGCCACTCCAACATTGCCCAGAACTACAGGCGCATGATCCAAACCAAGAGGCCAGCTAGTACAGCTGGCCTGCCCAGTGGGGTTCTTGGTCCAGGGTCTCATGGAATACCAGGACAACCAGGTGGAGGTGGTGGGGGAGGATCGGGGACGCCAGGAACTGCTACTATCCGCCGAACTCCATCAACAAAACCAGGAGTGAGGCGCACATTGTCCAGTGCAGGGCCTATTCCCATTCGACCACCCATTGTGCCTGTCAAAACCCCCACCATTCCTGCAGACTCACATTCACCTGGCACAAGTGGGTATGCAGGAGGAGGCCACGGTGGCGTGCCTGTTCGTGTAGGAAGTGAAGAGTGTGTGTTCTTTACTGGAGTTGAAGATGCACAGGGAGGTCTCGATTATGTGAAGGCATCACCAAAGCGCCTCAGCCTGCCCAATACTGCTTGGGGGTCGGGGGCAGCATTAGAAGTCTATGCCCAGCAACACGGGGGCCTTTCAATGGCATCAGGTTCGACAGCCAGATCAGAAGAGGATCAGATGATTGCAGCTAATCGTCACAGCTTAGTAGAAAAGATCGGCGAGTTGGTGGCCAGTGCACATGCTCTTGGCGAGGGGCAGTTTCCTTTCCCTGCCCTCCCAGATGACCCAGACCCAGCACCAACTGTCCCCCGTGACGCTCAGACAGGAACAGAGGGCACAGAAGGGTCTGGCGACATGCTGACCACCATCAGGAGAGGTGTCCGCCTTCGCAAAACAGTGTCCAACGACCGCTCAGCTCCACGCATATTGTGATTAAAAACAAAAGTCAAGATGGTTGTCAGCTGATAGGGGGTTAGTGTGGTGTAACCCAACCACCTAGTACATACACAAAGATAGAACCATGTTGGGAAAGCTCTAATATGAAAGCAGTGCAAAACAAAACATAGACAAAACATGTTTCAAGACACATTTAGAATAAATGGTATATAAAATAATAACATTAATAATGTTAACCAATGCTGATAATTATAAGTTAAATACTTAATATTGACAGGCTTCTAGCAGGCCATAATAACTAGTGTGTGTTGGACGCATGTTTGTCTTCTATACACCCTCACCCAGGGAAGGAAAGACTCACCAGGAAAAAAAATACTGATAATATTTCTAAAAAATGAGGCAAAGAGAGAATCATTGTTCTGTTTGCCAATGTGCCCTCCTCTCCATCCTGTTGTTCAACTAACCTGACTGTCTGATCCCAGAAGAAAGACTGATGACTGAGGGAGGGGATGACAAGGATGAATGAGAGAGGGGAGTCAGAGTGTCGTGTGAACCCATTCTGTGTCATCAGCGATGCACTGTGCTCATAAGTTCACTGAACTCAAGGTTTGGGACGAGCATGGGGAGCTAACAAACCAGACGGCCTCTCTGGTTCACCATAATGTAAAAGACTTTAAAAAAATGTTGGCATTGAACCGTGCTCATCTCCCTTCCCCTCTCTCTTACTGCATTGTGTATGCGTGCATTCATGGGTATGCATGAGGACAAATGTAAAATGAGCATTTGGGGACGTGTGGTGTGTGGGTGTGTGTGCGTAGGCGGGGTGGGTAGAGCTCTGCTGCAGGACAGCTGGTTACCCATTGAGGGCAGGGCTTTTCTCCTGTGTTCTGTGTGTATTTTCTTGTTTATATTGTGACATCACTCACCACTGTACAAGGAGTTACGAGACGTAATCCAGGCGTATAGATATATTCATATATATTTTCTAGAACCAGAGAGAAAACGATGAATCAGAAATGGAGCAATAAATGTGTTTTATTTTCTTGTTTCAGAAGAGGATCGATGGAGGATTGTAGGTTCTCCTTTGTCCTGTTCAGGCAATCATCAGGAATGCTAAATTACACATCGACTGAATTCATGCGTAATAAGTTTTGTCATGCATTTCTCTCTGTCCCTGTCTCTTTCTGGTAAATGAAATTGATTACAAAAGTTAGAAACAAGAAAAAACTGTAAGCACTTTGATGGGGTAGAGTATGTCCAATAGCCAGTAGATGTTGCTGTAGTCATACTGTGTGATAACAAGAGAGCAGCAATGATTGTGGCCTGATTATATATTTAATTTGTGAAAGTAGAAAAAGACAGGGAGGGATAGAGAGGAAGTGAAGAAGACTGGGGAGACAGGAGGGTTGTGGTAAAAGAGAAATAGAATAGGAAAATGGAAATTATTCATCTGAAAACTGACCAGGTGTCAGGGCTGTGCAAACCTTTGCTCGTTGTTAATTGTAAATGGAATTGAAGCATTTTATGACATAGTTGCACTGGTATTTGAAGAACTGACCATTTAATGGAAAAATACACATTACGAATATATATTTTTTTTCAAGGTTTAAATTAAATTGCATTTTTTTTCTTATGTTGAGCTTATATCAGCCTCTTAACACTAGTACATTTTAACAACTTTTTTTAATATTTGTGCTTTCCAAAACTATAAACCATGTTTTGTTGTTTATAGAAGAATATGGCAAGATTTAAGAAGAATTTCATTATTTTAAATTGAGAGTATTGAAAATAATTTCTAAACATGTTGGCAAAAGGAATACAATTCTTATCAATTCTACTGAATTAAGGTGGTAAAAAAAAGCTAATCTCATATATATATATAT